AAACATTCCAAACGTGAGTTGGCTTACTGAAATAAAAATGTGGTTCATGTTGTGCAACAGTCACAGTTTGGATAATGTTTAGGCACAAAAACGACTTAGTTAGGTTTATGAAAAGATCATGGTTTCAGTAAATAAGAAAGCAACTTAGGTAACGTAAGTAAAAAACTATTATTGGTTTCACCAAGAAAACAAACAACTCCTTGGTGTAAGTCCTAACTATGTCACCTGATTTGACTGCACATCAAAACATTCCTCTAGAGGGGGCACCTACAGTGTTACAGTTTAAATTGTAGGGCTGACTAAGCTGCCATATTTGACACTTTGGGAGTGAAAACATACTGAAAAAAACATTGCTGCTGAAAATGTTGCATTATTTTGGGCCAACGCCATTGGGAAATGTAGTTAAACTAGTAGCGTCCCTACATGTAGTGTTGTTACATCATGTAGCATTGTTTCATTGCATTGGCAACAAGGCTTGGTGTTATCGTAGGCACACCTTGCATCATCATGTGTAGTTGCACCCAGACTTATAATACAGAAGTAATTTTACTAGTTGTAATTCTCCAAATTCTCCAGAACTTTTTTTTTCAAGCCAATTCAGATTCACCAAGAATTCCCTCTCCGCATTCTAATATAGCAAAACTGGAATGCAAATTCTTTATGACATTTCAATTTCCTAATTAACAATAATCAAAGGATCATTGTTTTTTTCATCTTGTTTTGCATGTGGACTGAAATATGGGAAGATCTCTGAATCATTGAACGAACACTCAGTAAACGAGTAGATGTGAGATTTAGCTGTCACATTGTAGAAGGACACAAAATGTTCCTCGTAATCCACAAACACTCCCACCCTTTGTGGTTTCTCTTTTAGGGAAAGACAAACTGGTGGTGCTGTCATGGCAGCGTACTTTTCATCTTCATAATGTACAGTAACCCAGTAACCATTATCTGGGTTCAGCGAGAGTTTTCCTTTGCGGTTTGCGTCACATCTTGCCACACCCAGGTCCCACCCTGTCTTCTTGCTGACCTCCACCTCCCAGTATGACCTCCCAGAGGTCAACCTGTTGAGCCCCAGGATGCTGGCAAACAGATCAAACCTCTCAGAAGTATCGTCTACTTCCTTGTCCTCGCCTCCATCTTTCACTTCCTTCCCGTCATCAGAAAGAACAAGGCGTTGGTGGCCGGTGGTTGGATCCAGCTTTACATCCACTGTTAATTACAAGTTTTAAAAAGTTAGCAAAGATCTGAACTCAAAAGTCTATTTTTTGAAAGATGTTTTCAGAAGATTATTTTACGCACCTGTAAACTTTGGAACTCTCTGAAGTTCTGTGAAGTGAAGAAATTGTTTTAGATCAATTAAGTCGCCATTTTAGCATTAAACATTTACCACCATGATTTAATTCTTACCGATGGAGGTCAGCTTCTCCAGTTCCTGTTGAATTTGTTCCAACAGGGCTGCTGTGGTTTTTCTCATGGTGCCAAAAGACAGTGACGTGTCAAACTCTACCTCTGTCCAGTCTTTGATGTTGTCCAGGTCTTGAAGAGATGGGTAACTCTGAGACAGGGAAAAAAGAGAAACAACTAAATTAAAAAATGCACTTTAAAGTAGCAGCTCCTCAAAAGACGCACCTTTTCTGCAACTGCTGAACATACATCAGCTGAAAAGTTGTCCATTCTTGAAAAGTTTCGTCTTACTTGCAAGAAATGGATGTGATCCTCAAGTGCAGATATATCATCCAACTCAGAGATGGTCTTCTCAAGCCTGTTGATCTCTGCTTCCAACTCTTCTATGAGGTCTTTTGCATCTTTCTCCACAACCTGTCTCCTGTCCTTTAGTGGCTGTAGGGCTGCTGCCTGGGCTCTCTCCACAATGGCAATCACAGCTGTGAACACACCCTCAATATCCCACCACTCATCATCCATCTGGTCCTGGAAATGGGAGAAAAACAAGCATTGTTCATTTGACATCTGCTACATATACCTGTGATTTAAAAAACGGTCAGCATTTCCACTACTGCTATACCACTGATACTGAGATTTTGAGGAAAAGCCCACTGTATTAGCAACTGGCCCAAGAAGTTGCATTATCCTCTTTGTGGGACACCTATAAAGTTGTTCAGTTTAACTGCCATAGTGTTTAAAATCTTGATCTTCAATCCAGGTCAATCCAGGATCAGTCATTTTACTCTTGCTCTAGCTTACCTTGCACTTCTTAAGAGATGTATTAATCTCATCCATTCGTGTTTTTCTCTTCTGGATTTTCTGTTGTAACTCTGTC